GTGTAGATTGGGATATTGATTTCATAGTTCATGCATGTTGTCGAGTCTTTCGAGCAAGCTCTTCTATGCACTCTTCGTAAACCTGTCATAAAGAACTCTTAGCTACATTTATTCTCTACATGGGTAAGAGTGAAACAGAGTGCAAATCTGAGCAGATTCGAACATTCTGGGTTTTTTGTTATTAGCATTTGAGATCCTATAACTAATTTTTGGGATTTAGTTACATAGATTCGATTCATTATTTTTTTCCATTATGTTTTGTAATCGTTATTACGTAAAATTTATTATGCTACTTTTTGGGTTTTTTTGTGACGGTACCTTTAATTGTGTAAAGTGCTTAGATATAGTGATGCGGCCATATCTAAGTTATGGTGTGATAGAATTAAGCTCTTTTGGTATTATAAGAGTTAACGTGTGACAGCATTATCATGTAGTGACAATTTGATGTTTTTGTAGATGTGAGAGTTCATTAGGAAAGTTTGATAACAACTCTCTCTATTTTCTATGCCTCAAACACAAGATATCGAAAGGCAAAGACTTGAATCTGGCTTCTTATTCAAGGTTTACTACAATCACTGCCCTCTCATCTTTAAACCCCTTTTTGTGATTAATCATGTTTTGCTTTTGTGAACTGTGTATCACGTCTGGACAAAACTCTTTTTGTAGATAAGATTCCAAGAAAGGTAATGCACTTAAGATTTAAACATTCGTTGTTTCATCTTCTCATATATGATAATTTTATTTGTTGTGGTTGTAGGGCTCCAAAGGGACCCAACTTCAAAAGTGTCGAAAGCGATGCAAGACAATGGTAATTAAGGACTCTCTGACAAGAAGTGGCTTACATATGGATTACCTTGACCAATAGACAATATCTCTAGGGCTTTGTTTTAGCAGATTCTACAAATTTGAGATGGGTTTTGTGTTTGTTTATTGTTCTGTACCATTTAATTCAGTGTTAGTGGGACCACAACTCCATTGACGAGCACAACTTCGACAAGAGTTACTACAACAACTAATACACGACTCAGTCAGCAAGATGAGGATTGGAAGATGAAGAAGCGATTAAATCAGAAGAAAATCAGAAAAAGCTAACTCAATCCTTAAAGAGATCATTTTTGTTTTTTTATTGTGCCTTTGTTCAAAATCGTGAATCCAAGAGATAATTTTTCATGTTTTAACATTGTAGTGACATGAGATGTTCCGTAGTATCTTCTCCATTATATTTGAATTTCTCTATGGAACAGAGGCTATTGACATATTTCTCAATATTAACTTACTTTTCCATTTGACATATTAACTCTTGAACAAGAAGAGAGTGTAAAGAGGTTCTTGAATACACACACAAAAATTTGATGGCATACGATTGCTAAAAGTAGCCACTATAATGTAAATTAA